AAGGATGCTTCCACATGCCTTTATGTTTCAATCTTATTAAGGCGATCCCATTTATCTGAGGTCTTTAAAAACTTGTCTTTTTCACCCAAAGATTCATTTTTCTCACACTAGTAAAAGGAATAGCAATTCCCAAAATTATGCATACTACTTTATCTTCACAGAAGAGGCTAGCCTCTCCCCTTTATATCAAAGAAGGGAAAATAGACAAGAGATGGCCTGTATATAGGTGTCTCATTTGAAAGGAGAGTAGTTGTGGGAATTCTTGTGTTGTGACCTTAACCTTCTTTCTAATAGCTTTTAGATTCTTTTACAGCTTTTAGATTCCTTTTCTCCAGTCCTGAGGAAAAAAGCACAGGATTTACTGTTTATTGGGACACAGGCTGAAATAATTTAAAGTTACAAACAATAACTTCATGAGACCTATGTTACAATACTATCAGCATAGTTTTTTTTTCAGAATTGTTCCTGGGAAACTGTTCATAAAAGGAAGCGGTTCCAGTGTGATCTTCTGTCAACAAAGAAAGTTAACAAGGTGGAGTTAAAGGGAAGCAAGTTAGGAATACAGAAGTGGAGGAGACACTGATATATTTTTAAAGAAGTGCAATAGGTTGCTATAGCAACAGCCAAACAGGAATTCCAGGATTGATTTTTACATTTTTACTATTATTATATCATTATATTTTTATATCATAAATATGAATCCAAACTATTTTCGTTCCTGGGAGAACTCTTGAGAGCCAGTCTTATGAGAAAAAAATATTTTTTAAACTGATATGAATGAACTCTCACAGGTCTAATGTAACCAACAGAACGTCTGCATTTCTTTCTTGGTACAATCAGTTCACGCATTCAGTGCAGAGAGAGAACTCAAGACTAATGCCTTGGTGGGCTGATTTTTTTCCATTCCAGACGTGGAACTGAATTTTTTTTTCAACAACTTTATATCGTATTCGCTGTGTTTAAACAGAGTATATCATTAGAAGTCTTTACCAGTGACCACATTTCTGGAAGTTCTCCCAAGAGTAGAACATTAAGGCTGAACTGCGAGTGAAGGCAAAAATCTGTCCGACAGTAGGCTAACACAAGCCTGCCAGATCCTTTCCTGGGATCTTAGCCTTCCCATCCCTATTATCTGACTTCTGCGATATCTAGATGTAGTTGTTCCTTCAAGGGATTTGCCATTATGTCATTGCCTATAGGTCTGACTGGTGTAAGGATGCCGTGCACCGAATAATCACAGCTCTTCACTCAACAGATTTAGCGAAGATACATAGCATAAACAAATGGCAGAGCAAGTTTGTCACGGGGAACAGGATTCAGAATAGCACTGCATTACCTCTGGCTCCTCATAGATTTCAGGGTCCATCTGCGGGCTTATTAGTGGAAAGAGGCAAAGCCTATCTCCCTTTCTCAGGTGGTACTTTCTGCCAGCTGCCAGTCTCAGGGTCATGTCCTGAAGGACCTCTCGGCTGATAAAAGGAGCTGCTGTCAAACGCAGTGTTTCGTTCAAAGCACTGTCTGTACAAACAGAAGACCCACAGGAAAAATTATGGCACCCAAAAAATACAGGAACAAAAGTGTGGTTGGGCTGTCATGACATCCGTGTATGAGGAAGATGACAGCTCAATTTCCAGCATTGCAATTGCCACACAAATTCCCATCTTGCAAAATCCTTTAGAAACAGGATCAGCAATAAAGGAAATATGATAGGAACTCTTGTTCTGACTTCGGGGCCCTGAGAAAACAAGGCCAGAATACAATTCTGTCACATCATCACTTCTTGCTGCCAACACTAAGATAGTACTTGCATACTGCATTTAGCCATACTGTGATTTGGGGGTGGGGGTGGGGGTAGCTTAATGGGTTGTTTGAATCCAGTTTATTGTGCGTGGTTCTTTTCTTTTCTTTTCTTTCTTTTCTTTCCCTCTGGCTTTGGACATTGTGGAAACATAGTCAATTGTGACTTATTCAATAAAGCACAGTTAAACACTTTGCATGATATGCCGAAGTGTTAACATTTGATATATGTTCTTATATATAATATCTGGAGGATAATCTGACCAGCGGTCTGGAAGCAGTGTAATATTTCTGATACTGCAGCTAGGGAAGAATGGAGAGAAACTTTCTATACAAAAAGAGCCAGCAGAAGGCAAAGATAATGCTAAACTTTCTTCTACCTGATCAGCTATTTTTGTGTGAGGAATTTCCCCTTGGAGGAAGGGCAATTTCCAATCATCAGTTCAATCGTGTTAATGCAATATACCTTCACCATGTGATGTGATGAGGTGTGTTTGTACGAAGAGTAACACTTTCTTCTATTACCTGTGGTTGAGACTAATATTAAGAGGCTAATAATATGAAACTTATTTTAGCCTTCACGAGAATTTTTGATTTTAACAGGATTATTGGCCATTTCTTTTTGTAGCTATAAAAGGTTTTTGCGAGGCAAGTGCTGATCTTTAGCAGGAAGACTGGAGTTAAAATGTGTTACTGCTGGGGCAAATCAACCTAGTTTTAGTAGCAGTTCTGAATACAGATCATCAGCATTTTCTTTAAGGAGACTTGATCGAGGGCAAAGAAACTTATTTTTATTTATTTATATTTCAAATTTGTCACCACCCATCTCACCGCGGTAGGAATCTCAGTTAGATGTCATGATTTAAAATTACAATTATGTCTAAAAGTCCTCTAGTGAAAGGTCACCATGTCCTTTCAAGGATTCACTCATTACATTGTACAAGTATGTTTTGCAAAGCTCAGATTAGGGATGAGATGAAATATCAGGAAAAGGGCACTTGATAGCAGAAGGCCTTGAAAGTTAGGTGAAACATATTGAATATTTTCCATTTAATCTGAGGGCAAGACAGCAGGAGATATATCTTTCACCCTGATTAGGTTTTGACATTGCCATACCCTGATAGCTGATTAAGTATATGAAACCATGTAATCACACTGGCCGCACAAGCCCCAACTGACCATGTGGCCCAATAGATCAGATTATGGTTGTTTCTCTTTAATCACCATCTGTAGCCTTGGCTTGTTGTTGGTTAGCTAGTCTGGTGTTCTCTGCACCTGGACTAAAGGCTAATTTATGGCTAACAGCCGTTACTAAGGGTGCAGGAACAGCCACAAAGAGGGTAAGAGAATCGTAGTAAAAAAAAAAAAGTTGGATGTTGGCCACTGAAAAGATTGTCGAGATGCCTAGTTTAGACAGCAGAGGAAGCAAAGGCAGCTACCAGACTGGTTAATTTGATTGTCTGTGGACCAAGCGGAAGGTTAGTCCCCCAACTGTAATTAAACCAAGTGTAGAATAGTGGGTTCCACAAATGCTTCCATTATATCCTATGCAGAAGTGCTTTCCCTGCCCAAGATATTTGATCTCTATGACAGTTCCCAATTCAAGGTCATCTTGGAAGGAAGATGTCACCATCTTTTGGGGGATTTTTTTCTCAAGCTTTTCCAAATCCTGAATTTGAAAGACATTCACCCATGTGCATACTGCTTCCTTTCTCTATGTGGTCATATCCACATGTTTACCAAGATGAAGAGACTGGACACAACATGGAAACAGCTAAAGGGAAAATCTGATATTCTCTGTGCTTTAAGGGAAGAAAATCAAAGAGACAGGTAGGATGGCCAAGAAGCATTCCCAGATCCAGTGATGACAGTGGTAAATATTTAACTGACACTTAAGGGATTAAATTTCCCAAGGCTAGCTGTGAATGACAGGTTACTAACCCAAAATGGGTGTGCTATCCAAAACTTTTTGGTTGATTATCTCACAAATTGGCCTGGTTGTTAATCGTCTGTTTCGAAAGAGTCTTTCCATTTCAGCTTGAACTGCTGCCATGGCTGGAGGATGTTTTAAAAGAAACAGGAGAAGCCAGAAAACTGCTGGGCCAGCATTGCTCTAAAAGTGAAAAGAAACAACAAAAGAATCAGACTATTTTTTTTAAAAAAAATGTCAAATAACACAAATAGAACTTTATCACAAAGTAGCAAAACTAGTAAATGAACAACAGAGTGGCCTTAGAAGGACTGCCTTGAAAAGCTGAGAAATAACCATAAGCCTTCTGCAGTATTGATGATACCATTCCCAGAACTAATTGGCTGCTTTAGAAATCTGAGGAATCTCACAGGGTCTTTATCAGGAAGGCAAAGATCAAAACTGATCATGATGAAGAACTAAGGCATTCAAATCTGCTGTAGCAAATAATATTCTTTAGAAATAAACTCTCACCTGAGATTTGAATGTAGTATAACACAGCCTTTATTACTTAGAGGGTTATATATATAGCCCCTCTTTCTGTTCATGTGATGCAAGGGTTTTAAAATACAATTTATTGTCAAAAAGAAATGCTCTGAAATGCAGTGAAGGCACAAACATATTACTTTCACCTAGGTGTACAAGACCAAACAACGTTGTTATATAGCTGCATACATCACTTTAGAATTTATCATGACAATCAATTTATTGCTTATTTTAGCATTTGCAAAACAGTCTTAGCAATAATGCATTCACATGTTATGTAATGGAAGGAAGGAGTGTTGGTGTAATCCCTTTAAAGGAAATTAAAGTATGTCCAGGGACGGTAGAAGGAGACTCTGCAAAAAGCAACCTATGTAAAATGTTTCCAGGTTTTTTCATCAAAAGAAATTGTGAGCCTCTGCCTCTTATTTTCAAAACTCTTTGAGCATCTGAAGAAGGGCTGAATTTTCATAAAATTCAATGTCAGAGGAGCCTACAATCTGGTACAGTTCCAAGAGGGTGGAAAATTGTTTTTCACATCTGGTACAGCCATTTTGAATATACTGTATATTAATATATATTAATGCCATTTGGATTACACAATGCTTCCATAGTACGCCAACACCTATATGACATTTGGGGGGATTTTATGGACTAATTTATCATCATTTACTTCGAGGAGAGCCTGGTTTATTTATCTTTCCTTCAGGAACATGAATGCCATGTAGGAGCTGTCCTACAGGTCTCAGAGAACATCACTTGTACACAAAGCTTGAAAAATGTGAGTTCTCAGTCACAATTATTTTCTGGGATGCCACATCTCCACCAAAGGAATCAAGATGGACCCTGACAAAGTGAGAGCTTTCTTGTCCTAGCAACCTCCAAAGGATGTCAAAGACATACAGAGATGAAAGGGCTTTGCAAATTATCACTGCACTTTTACCCCAAATTTTAACCCATTGGCTCTACAGTATTTAGATGAGGTACCCTAGTCCAGAAACCCTTCAAAAAGCTAAAAGAGGTTTTCTCTGTCCACCCCATCCTGCAACATCCTGACTCTACCTGGCCATTTGTAATGGAAACTGGTACTTCTGATGTTGCAATAAGGGCATTTTGCTATAAGATGCAGTGAAAACACAGACCTTAATCCTCAGTGCTTATTTCTCAAGAAAGTTAAACCCACTGGAACAGCACTACACTGTCCAGGACAAGGACTGCTTGGCGATTAAGGTAGCCTTTGAAACTTGGAGGCATTTACTGGAAGGAGCTCAAAATGCTGGGGAAATTTGGATTGACCATAATAACCTGGAATACTTGCAAATTGTTCAGTAGCTGAATCAATGACAGATCTAGTAGTCATGGTTTTTCTTCTGGTTCAATTTTAGAATGATCTATATTCCTAGCATTCACAGATGCTCTGGCCTGGAAAGTGAAATATAATGGGAAGTGCTCCTCCTAAGAGTTTTGCATTGTGACCCCCTGATCCATTGATAAACTGGGCTGAACAGTAGTTGTGTGGGAACCCCCGTGCACTGCCAGGTTATATAAAACTCCAGAATATTCCTAATGTCCATTTTTTCCCACTGACCTGGATTCAAGATTGCCTTCATTGCCGGGGCTGCTGTTATATTTCCCCTGGTGACTTAACAAAAAGAGGTTCTGCAGCAGAACTATGACAATCCTTCGGCAGGCCATTTTGGACACTTTCAAACCTTTCATTTGGTCCTGAGATACTTCAAGTGACCGCAAGTAAGAGCAAAAATAAACAAAAATATTATGGAGCTTCTTGCACAGTCTGTCACCATGCCAAGGGCAGAAGCTGAGTATGCCTCTCCCATTATAAAGCTGTCTGGCTATTAAAATCTGCAGAAGATTTCATGAAGATGCCTCTACGGTCAGATACCCTTCTGTATTACTCCGAGGAGTTGCATTTGGTCTTCATGTTCTCACTATTTTAAAAATCTGTATCTTGCAGATTTTTTTCCCCTAAAGAATGATGGTAATAGGTGGAGACCAAATATTCAGTTTTCCATGATTAAGTTAGCAGTTTGTGATTTGTGTCACTTTTAAATCTTATCTTTTTACATTTTTAAGGGTTTGCTCTTTTTCTATTTTATTCCTTTTAGTTAGATTTCACCTTTAACCTTGAAACCTTCCCTGCACTTAACATCTTTCTCCGCCCAGTATTAAATTCTTCACTTCACGTCTCCTGTTCTTACTCCTTCCTGATTATTTCCCTCTGTTAACACTTTCTTGAGTCTTTCATTATTTTACAGTGTACCTCTTAGACTTGTATTACTTTTATGATTTCTTTTCTCTTCCCTCCTTCCCCTTTTCCCCAGAGATACTTCTTTCTCTTTTATCATTCTTAGAATTGATACTACAAACTAACTTAGATTATTCTTGGGAAGGATCCTGACATCCTTAGAGCACATAGGAAGGAAGGAATGTATCAGACTTGCATTATCATGATACACAGCTACGTTCCCAATTATGGCGGAGTTCCATCATCCAGGCATTCCAGGGTATTGTAAAGGGGCCCTACATGAGGACTGATGCGTATTCTTTAGAGTTCCTTTTTAAGATATTGGCCATCCTTATGTGAGAGACCTTAAGATGAACATGTGGCTGGCAAGAAGATGGTTAGAGCCCCTTGTGAATATATGATGTGTTTGCCTTGTCACTTGGTTTGGCCATCTTGTTATTGGTATTGTTATATGCGTTTTGTATATTTGCTATTTGTTTTTATGCTGTGAGCCACCCAAACTGGACTGGAGTCAGGTGCTGCCTAAGGGGAAATAAATAAATAAATAAGCAAGCAAGCCTCAATCAGTGCAACGTGGGGAATTGGTTCTGGGGAACAACTCAGTGTTCCCTAACCATGGCAGTTCTTTCCCACCACTGCTTCTCATGGAAATGCCCCTATTTCAGAATCTGAAAAATAGAAGAATACAGGAAACCCTAGCACTGCCTATTTTTCTCTGCTCACTTCTTAAAATTGAGATGATTAAGCGAAATGCAATACAGCACTATTGTTGATACCAAGTACATCAAGAGTACATTAAATCCAATAGAGAGAAGTGCAAAGTATAAATAATACATGCTGATTTTGGAAGGGGGAAATGCAAGATTTTGTTCTGCTTGGGTTTTTTAGAGGGGTGGCTGTTCTTTTAATTAAAGTGCAGCCATTTAAAATGGGGTGGAGGAGAGAGAATCAAAGTGCATCCAGGCTTTTAATTATTAATGTGGCAACCAAATGGATTTATTCATGTTGTAGAGGAAAAAGTCTTTCTTGCCTCCTTGAAAACTGCATTCTAAAAATTCTTATTATCTCTCAGAGTCTTTGCAATATAAAGGAACCGAAGCACGGAATGTCTTTGGGAGCAGATTCACTAACACAAGTGGGGATATTTGTAGGAAAGTGACAGGAAATCAAATATTTTAGACCAGGGGTTCCCGATTATATTCTGGGAAACTGAGGGACCCCTTGGGAAACAACCATAAATACTGTTTTTGGACACAGCAAATTACCTTAGCTGGAATCTTGCTGCTTGTACTTTTAGCTTAGTACTTCTACAGTACACCATCAGCAGCAGCTTTTCAGTGTTTCAGAGAGATCTTCCCACCCTGTTTGGAACTCAAAAGCTTAGAGTCGATATGTGCATGCAATGTTTGTGCTCTATCACTTGATTGTGGTTGCTTCCATAAAGGTGATCCTGCATGCCAGAAATCAGGATACTTTGAGTTAAGGATCTCCCTTGGTGAAGACTAGGGAATCTGTGCCTCTCCAGATGTAGAAAAATTACAACTTTCAAATCTTTGATAACTGATAACTATGATTACACTGCCTGGACTGCTGGGAGTCTAGTCCCAAGTTTTGAATGGCCACAGCTCCCTTATGCCCAGGCAGAGGACTGTTCAAGTTACTTTGGCTATATTCTCTAGAACATAAGAGCACAACTTTTATTGGAACTTTGAAAGACATCTCAGGGGCTGCACTCCAAAAGGGGGGTTGGGTGATTAAATTAATTATACATTAACAATATTACTTAGAATAAACGAACATTTCCACAACCTCCAGCAATTCCCATCTCCTCACTTTTCAATTGATTCCCAAGTTTAAAATAAATTTAGAAGCACATAAGCAAAAGAATATTAAAAAAACCCCAAACAAACAAACCTTCTCCTACATATTTTTTTCTTGGTGCCTTTGAGTTATTGTTGACTCCTGGCAATTGCCTGGACCAGTCCCTACAATTTTCTTGGCAAGATTTAGAATTAAGAATTAAGCTTTAGACTGGTCATCTACAGCATTCAGCCCTCTTTTCTACAAGAGACCATGGGTTAAAAAAAAAAAAAAAGCTTGCCCAACCTTTTTTACGTGAATTAGAGCAGTGTTTTTCAAACTTGGCAACTTTAAGATGTGTGGACTTCAACTCCCAGTTTGAAAAACACTGAATTAGAGCATCTTCCAGAACAGTCTGCAATGATCAAGGGTTTTAAAGCTGAAGGTGGAAAGTGGGAGTGAGCTGAATATTTGAAACCAAACATTGAAACAGGAACTATTGCAATTATTGCACATGCTATAGAAACTCACATATTTTCTGAGTTTACTTATGTACCTTATGGCAGTCAAGGGAAGACAATTCCAAAGGGATCAAGTAAAAAATCACTCCTCTATTTATGTTAGGGGCCATTAATTTCAATCATGTAAATCCAGTTATAACAATCTACATGCAGACAGACAGATTTTCCACACAGGTATTCCTTTCCCAGTCATATCCTGAACACACAAAGGGAAGATATAAATACGAAGTCCACTATTGGAGAGATTGGCATGCATAGTATTGATCAGATCAGTGTTACTGATGCCAAATCAATTGGATTTGATGCAGGCTCTCCTCCCTCCCTCCCAAGAGAAGACTGACACTATACAAACATTAATAGTATTTGGATAGTACATGCATGGAGGTCTTTAAAGAAAACCAGGGTACCTATCAGCAATGATCACCAATGAATGAGCAAGCACTTTGGCCCTCAAGACCATGAAGCTTCTCGCTCATTCACATGCACCTTTTCTCAGATACAGACACAGAGAGGGAAGAGAGACCTCATCCCACTTTCTCCCTTGTCCACTCTTCCACCCCTTCCAGCATCCCTCTGAAGATCTAGTGGGATCTAATGAAGAAACTAGTGGTCCATGATGCAATACTGAGATTTGCATACTACATTTTCACTTTCAATAGATTCTGAGCCATAGGTATTTTTTTTCCTGACTCCACCCTTTGTGTATAAATAGTTCATGTAAGAGGATGGATCTTGAGCTTGCGAACCTGAAAAAGAAGTAAAGACAGAAAGTGAAATTGCATTCTTACCTGAGTACTCCAGAGTTGCAGCACCATGGCTCTAGTTTGCATATCTTCATTCACACCAAGGTCTACCAAGTGCTGCCTGTAGATGTTCAACCAAACACTTTGGTTTGCTCTGCTGTCCAGTCTTTCCACAGAAAAAAACTTCCAGAGATCCTTCCTGATATTGCAAAATTTCCACTTTTCCACTGGGTACAGAGAACCATCAGAGAGATAAATGTGAATGATATGTTGTTATTATTAGGGCCACACTAATATTCTGTCCTCCCTCCAATAAAATCAGAGCAGTATACCTGGAAGGCTTATCTTATTTCATCCTGAGAACAGCCCTGCAAAGCAGAGGTACTCTCAAATTTTATTACGTTTTTATTAAAATAAATTAATAAAGCATTTTTTGCTGGCAGTGGCCTTTGGGGCCCTTATTTGAGAAGGGTAATAATTAATGAAAGTAGCTTTCCCTCACGCTACCAGGTGAATTTCATAGGTGAGCAGGAATTTGATCCTCAAATCAAATTGTTTCTAAGCTTGGTTCACCCAGGATGTAATTATCTTCAAGTCTCATACTTCTTAGCTGCCTGCAGGATTGCTGGATTTCAAGTCCATCACATCTAGAAGGCATCAGGTTGGGAAATACTGTTCTATGCGTTAGAGCAGAGATCAAGAACTCTGAGAGATTCAGGACATATTGAGCCTCCAACTATTGGAAGTTATGAATGAAGCTATGACAAAGAAGAGGACACCCCAAACATGGACTGAAGCATATATCACACTTATACCAAAAGAGGACACTGACCCACAACAGGTTAAAAATTACAGACCTATATCTCTATTAAATTCAGATTATAAAATTTTTGCTTCAATATTGGCAGAAAGACTAAAAAAATATTTAAATAACTTTATCCATGCCAATCAAAACGGATTTT